CCAGTAGCTGGGTTAGTACCAGCATGTAGTGGGGATTTTCACGGACTACGAAAAGGAGCCAGAAAGTTAATATCTAAAGGCAATGCTGCCAAGCCCTGGGGAAATCAGGCAGTGGAACTGGAAGGATGAAGCTTGGTGTAGTTCCCTTCTATTCCAGATCTGTGGGCACGTCTGTCTGGGGCTAGTGAATTAACCTCTTTCAATCAGCTCACTTTCTCAGCTGTCTTAACCACTGCTTCCTGCAAAATTGATTTGAATTGACTGCACGGTCAATCTGATCTCTTACTAAAATACGTTGAAAACAATTAATTGGGCTTTTTCTCTACCTGTGTCTTGGCAGCGTAGAACTGTGGGTAAACTCTTGGTATCTTAGCAGCAGATTCCTCCAAATGATTGTGTTCTGAGCCAGGCAAGAGGGACAGAAGTACATGACTTCTAGGCTTGGAGTAGGGTGGGAGGGGACAGCAAGACAGCAACAACATACCAGAGAGAATTGTCAAAGTGCAGATTTTTGAAAAGTATTTGCATGGCTGCCCTGCTCAATCAAGAATGAACTCTGCTAGCCTCATGTGTCAAAGGTAACATACACTTTATAGGTTTCTGTTTTACAGTTTGGTATCTTGCGCACAGGAGGCGAGCAGGGCCCATCTGTTGAATGAATGCATTGCATGTAGCCGCCGGCGGCAGGAGGAAACCAAGCATGGGCCCTGGGCAACGCCATACACTTCTCACCCGATCACCTTCCTCCTTTTGCTGTCTTTGCTGCTTCTGTCTTCCTGGTGTCCTTCCCCTAACCCCTCCTCCATAAGCCTTCTTAAATTCTACAATTTCGCTGCTTTCTCCACATGCATTTTTTTTTCCACTTAAAGAAAATGGAAAACATGCAAGGCTAAGACCTTCAGTCCAAGGCAAGTTATTTTGTGTGTCCTTCCAACTGCTATATTTGATGTAACTCTCTGTTTAGATCAATTCATTCTAGTGAGCCCACAGTGCTTCAAAAAATGGAGTGTTTGGGGGTGATCCGACAATTCACTGCCCAGGAACCTAGGGCAAGAACTCACTAAATCAGCCAACACTGTGGTCTTGCTACTGTAGTTATGTGGTCTGTGAGGACAAAATAGAGCCCTTTGGGCTTGTAATTAATTTCTGGAGGGAGAAAAGGTGGAACAATGTGTTCCCCTGATTCCTCTAGAAATAAGCAGAGACCCCAAGACGAGCCCTTTGCCGGCTGCAGGGGTCACCTCCTAAAGCTCTTCCTTTTTCCTAATAACGTCTGCTCAGGTTTTTCTCCCACAACCCTGAGCACTTCCCCTCACCCCCCGCCCCACAGGCCTCCATGCCCTCCACCCCTGAGCAGGCAGTGGGAGGACCCAGAGCAGCTCTGACTTCACCACCTCATCTCCAGCATCCTAAGAGCTTCCTGGCCCATCTGTTAATTAGCCATTTAAAAAAGAAGCCACACAGTTCCTCCCGCAGTATGAGTCTTCTCTCCAAGACACTCATGAGTCAACTCAGGGTGAGGAGAAGGAACAGGTCTGGATGTGAGACAACTGGTAGGGAACTGAATGGCAAAAGGCAGCCAGTCTCCTAGGCCGTCTCCTGGGCCGAGACCCTGATCTTGGAGAACACGGTGGGCCCTCCCTGAACAAACAGCCCCGGGCAGCAGTGCAGAAACCACTCAGGAAACGTTACAATCCGCGTGGGCCTGCGGTCATGCGCTTGAGCCGCAGCCTGGGCAGCTGGAAAGAAGGGGAAGGGGAGGTAGAGAGCCTGGTGAGAAACGGGGTTCTGAGTGGGAAAGGAGGCTGCCCGATGTCCAGTGGCTCTCCAGATCCAGAATACGGGGTCCCTCTGGCCACCTCTCTCTCCTCCCTGGGGTCCAGCTGAGTGTGACTTTGCTCATCTGTGAGAATCACCAGAGCGCTGATTGTTTCCCCTACAGACACTGGCTTCTAGCACAGAAACAGGATGGCAAGGTCTAATCACTTCTGGAAAAGACCAAATCTGTCCTTCCCTGCAGGGGCTGGAGACGTGAAAGGGGGCCCTGCCCTCAGGAATGTACGTGCAGGCAGGCGAGGGCTGGCCAGCCCAGGAACACAGGAAGAGGCAGATGGACCACCTTGGAGTGGCATCCTTCTTTTCATCCCTTCTAACACTCACAAATATCCCCTTCAATGAGGCAGCTCTCCTCCCTCAGACTCAGCCCCTTCTTCCCCATCTGCATCGTCTGAGAGGAACACACAGTGGAATAAACTCCTTGCCTTTTCAGAAAGGAAATGTCTTTGCTGAATATTCCAAAGAATACGTAAGAGAACACACATCCCACTTCCTCGGTTGACCTCTGAAGGGTCTATATTCTTTCTTCTCCCCCACTTTCCCTGGGGAAAACTCACTGTGGTGTGAATATTTATCTCCTTCTCCACTGCTCTCTCCTCTTCTCTACCCTAACTCCCCAGCAAGACAATCTGCACAAAACTCCCCAGAGCAGCAAGCAGCGAACTCTGAGGTGTGAGCAAAGTGAGATGAGTCGTGGCAACACTCACACCCAGGAGTCAGTGAGCAGCTCCCTGCAATGTGCACACTCACCCTGACACTCCTGGGAAGGAAGAGGTGGAGATGGGATGCTGTTGTGCCTGAGTAACCCAGAATGGAAAACTAAGTTTCCCAACCTGTCCAAGGTCACTCATGGAGTGTCCTAGATGGCTTTCTCATGCTCTGTCCCCTCCCTCCCAAACATAGACAGGCATTGTCCCCTACCCAAGCACCAATATGGTGGTTTCCAAAGCACTGATCAGGCGAGACTGCAGCTGCTGGAAGAGATGCTGTGAACTGAATAAAATCAGGAGGTGAATTTGATGGAGAAGCATCCCATATTTACATGATGGTCTGAGGGCTGAAATTCATCCCCTTTCCCACGGTTCTCTCTCTTCCCCGACCCAAGAGAGAAACTGCACAACGGCATCACCATTGAGCCATACACCCATACACAAACCAGTTGCCCTAGCTTGGTGTTGGGGAAGTCTGTGTGGTGGGGAGGGAAGAAAACACCAAGAGGAACAGTGATGTCTCCAGGGTCACAAGCCAGTAGAACACAGGCCAATGCCAGCATCCAAAGACTATCAATATCCTCCCAGGTGTTGCTGAATAAACTCAGTAGGAGGTGGCAAGGTCAGGGCAGGGGGCAGCTCTCTCTAAGAGTGTAGAGAACAATGGCTCAGGGAAGAGAGAAACTCAAAGAAAGGTATGTGAGAATCAGCCAGCAGGAGGCCATGGCCAGAGTGGAAGGTGATGAGTAACCAGGACCACAGGAGAAGGCAGACAATTTTCTGGGCCTAGAGACAGGGCTGGAGGGAGCATAAGGACCAGGCATCTCTGCATCAGGAAAGTGCTTGCCCACAGGCATTCCTTCTCTGCTTTCCATAGTGAGCCGAGAGAGAATTCTTCGCCAGACAAGACCCAAAAGAGGGAGTGTCCTGTCCTTAGTTTGCTCTCCATCCCACCTGCCCTCTGCATTTGAGAGCAGGGACTGACCACAGACCATGTGTCACAACTCGTCCATCAGTTGCCAGGACCAGTCCAGGCACAGACTCATTATCTGAGCCATAAGATGAGGACAGAAAGGAGGGCAGTGGCACTTGAGGGTGATGAGTGAGGATTATAAACAGGTCTCCTTTTGGAAGCACCCCAATTCTAACACCTGCATTTGTCAGTATTGAAGTACCCACGCTTTGAGGATTTGACTCAATAAAACCTGCCAGGGAATATGATCTTTTCTCAACATCCACAGTATCAACAGAAAAAAAAATCATGCCTAGAAATTTCTATCTGCTTTTCTCTCTCTTCATCAAGGCACAGGTGATTAATGTCCACAACAGTGAGGGAAGAGGTTTTCAGGCCAGAAGGATAGCAAGCAGAGTGCGGAGATGAAAGGTGTATGGCTCAGGGTGGGGGCCTGCTGGGCAAACTCAGAAGCAGGATTGGTCTGGGGGGTGGTCCTGGTTACTAGGGTAGTGCCCACACAATGTGCCAGAAATGGAAGTATTTCCTGGGGCAGGATTTGTTCCCTGAAAGGACTCTGCTGAACCACGTCCAGCCATTCATCATCACAAGGGGACAGAAGCAAAGCTAACTTTGCATCTCTGGGTGCATCACTCCTAGAGTTGTAAAGAGAGGCTGGTTTCCTGTTCCCTTGGCTTTGACTTCCCAAAGGGCTCCCTTGGAGCTAGGGTTGTGGGGCAGGCGGCAGTCAGGGTAGAACCATGGACTACCATATTTGAGCTCCTGGCATAAGTTTCGATAGGAGGCTGTCCCCACTGCCTGCCTAATATAAGCAGTGAAAGATGCCCACCAGGTTTAACAGAGCAAGAAGTGTTAACTCAGAGAGTTCTGCCTACAAGGTTTAAGTCTCAGCAGGAAAGATAAGCATCCCACTCAGCAGGATGCAATGAAGAGACACCATCTGCCCTTGGTCAACACGGAATGGATACATCTTTATTCCTTCTTCCCCCAGGAAGCATCCTTTCCATATCACCTTCCTCGCTACACCACCCAGTTTACACTAAATCACTTAGTACTCTTTCCAGTAAGATTCTAACATTGGTCAGTTTCCTATGTTGAAGATAAGCTCTGGTTTGACTCAGAAACCAAATGCAGTAAGAGCCTACACCAAAGTGCCCACATGCCACGAAAACTGAACCCTAGACCCCCACCCAGGATTACAGAATTTGCAAAATTTTTACACTCAAACTTCATGGACTCGACCAATCCAACTTACTTTGCCTTGTAAATCCCCTTAGCCCCAAAGCAGGCGCTCCGGTTCTAAAGAAACGAAGAGGGAACAAGCGGCTCTGATTTATTGCATGTAAAAGAAGCAAGGGTGAAACTGACTAGCGAGTCGAGAGACAGGTGGTGATGCCAAGAGTGGAGAGGACAAGGGAAGCACGTTAAGAGAGGTGAGACCACGGGGAGACCGGGGGCAGGCGCCAGGGGGCCGCTCTCACCTGTGGATGTTCATCTCCCGCGGAGGGCGGTGGGCCTTGTCATAGGAGACCTTGGCGAAGACGCCGGCCACGATGACGAAGGCGATCACCCCGCAGGTGATGTAGACGGTGAAGTTGGTCTTGTCCTTCTCGGGGTCGTACTTGTTCTCGGGCCCCGGCGACACCACCTTGGTGCTGGGCGTCTGCACCCACACCGGGCTCTGGTAGTTGGTGCACTGGCGCTGGTCCAGCTTCTCGTGGCGCTTCTTGCAGCAGAAGCGGTAGTAGCAGGTGCCGCAGCAGTACAGGTAGCCGCTCTCGCTGTTGTTACACTCGAACTCCTTGTCGTACTGGCCGCTCACGTCGTAGTAGCCCCAGCACGTCTCGTAGGTGACGGCCGCGCTGGCCGCCGCCACCGCCGCGGGCTGTCCCCGCCGGCTCCCCGCCTCCGGCCGGGCCCCGGGCGCCGCGGCAGTGGGTCGGCCCGCTGAGGACAAGGTCAGCAGTCGGAGAGGCGATGCTCGAGTGCGACTGGAGAGAGCCGAGCGGAGGCGACAGCGATTGGGATCTGTCCCTCCTGACTGGGCAGCGGGACTGGGGCAGGCGCCGGTGAGGAGGAGGAGAAGCGGCGGCGGCGGCCCGGTTTTTTCCGGCCGGCTTTCCCCTCAGGAACATCCCTGTCCGCGCCCGCGAGCGCAGCCCCCTCCCCGGGCAGGGGCGCCGGGGAAGATGGAGCCGGGGGGCCGGGCCCGCACTGGCCCCCCGCAGCCGGCGGCCCCGGGACTG